CCCGGCTTAGAAAGTTCTTAATAAGTTAAAGATATAACCTCTTTGGGCAGCCGGGGTAGCTCAGTGGTTTAGCACCTGCCTTTGGCCCAGGGTGTGACCCTGGAGTCCCAGGATCAAGTCCCACACTGGGCTCCCTGCATGGAGCCTGCTTCTGTCTCTGCCCCCCTCTCTCTCTCAAGAATAAATAAAATCTTAAAAAAATATATTACCTCTTTGTCCTGTGCTTGTGCAAAGCATCTTTGATCCTTATAACCCTGCCCCCCATGAGAAGATCAGATTGGTTTATGAGATGGGAAGTGATCTGCCATAAGCCACACAGTACAGGAGGGAAAGGGACAGGACCAAGACCATTATGCTCCATGCTGGGGGTTCAGTGGGACCAATTTTTAGCACCCTTCATTCCCAGCAGCTGACTCTGCCCTGGGCATCCTCCGTTTGTACCCCTGATCCCCACCAGGCCGTGGAAAGGAAAGGACTTCCCTGGACACACCTCCTTTTCATATAAAGTGCCTCAAACCCAAGGACCAGGTGCCTGTGGGCAGCTGTACCTCAGGGGAGCTTGAAATTACCTGGAGAAGTCAAGAAGGCTCCATGGAGGTGATGTTTATGTGGGGACTTGAAGCGACATTCAACAGTGCTGCCCAGGAAGAAATATTATGTGAGCCACATGTGCAATGTTAAAAGTTAAGATATTGAGGGACACCCGGGTGGCTCTGTGGTTGAGCGTCTGCCTTCAGCTCAGGTGGTGATCCCGGGGTCCTGGGATGGAGCCCCACATTGGGCTCCCTGCAGGGAGAGGCAGACTCTTCATTCTCCAAAGAATGAAAATTTAAAATCTTTTGCTTTTTAAAGATTATTTATTTGTTTATTCTTGAGAGACACAGAGAGATAGAGGGGCAGAGACACAGGCAGAAGGAGAAGAAGGCTCCATGCAGGGAGCCCGACGTGGGACTCGATCCCAGGTCTCCAGGATCATGCCCTGGGCTGAAGGAGGCGCTAAACTGCAGAGCCACCCGGTTGCCTGAAAATTTTAAATCTTAAAAAAAAAAAAAAAAAAGTTGATATCGAAACTTTGCATCCAAAATAGTACTCATTCCATATATCATTGCATTTTTAAAAATATTGAGGGATTTTTCATTCCTTTTTTTTTTTTTTGGTTACAAACCTTGAAAATCTCCATTGGACTGGCCACCTTTCATGTGCTCAGTGGCCTTTGTGTGGGAGGGGTCCCTGCACTGGACACTGCAGGTTTAGGCCATCACTATACTCTAGGAGGAGAAGGGAGGGCTGCCCTGGAGGAGCAAGCCCTGTGAGAGGGAGCAAGAGGGGAGTCAGGAGACAAAATGGCTTTGAGAGATGGCAGTGGCTTGATCAGCCTGGCCGGGGGTGGGGCACAGAGGAAGGTGTTCAGCCTTGAGGTCTATTCAGGGAGTGAAATCCAATGGACTAGGTGCAGAGGATGGATCTAGATGTATCTAGAGAGTAGGGTCCATGGGGAGAGCAGGGTGTCCAAGACGTTTCAGATTTCTGGCTGGAGTAAGAGTATAGGAGAAGCCATTTATTTGCCCAAGGAGAGAAGATTCTTTTTTGGGGAAGAGGGGGGTTTGATAAGTTGTTTCTGGCCTGATGAATGAGGGACACCCACATGGACACACCCCGCAGCAACCTGGATACACACACAGGCTGAGACTTGGGAGAGACTGGGCTGGAGCTGCTGATCTGGCCCGGGAGGTAACGACGCCAAGGACGCAGTGGCGCAGGGAATATTTAATCCAGACTCTGCCTACCACAAGTACGTCACTTTTGTTCCCCAAGGGCTTTCTGGAAGAACTACTGAGCAAGCTTCTGGGGTCACTCTTCCAGGCGAGCTCAAAAAAACAAGACAAGGGACTCTGCTGAAAGGCAGGGCAAGGACCAGAGGCTGGGTTAGGATGCAGATTCCCAGGTCATGCCCCCACCCCATTCAGCTCTGCCCCTTCTGGATGGGGCCTGGGCAGCTGGGTCACCGATCAGTGCCGGCAGGTGATTCAGGCAGGCACCTTCCCTGGGCTACCTGCAGAGGAGCAAAATGACTCTCAAATGTTTGTCTTATTCAAAAGCACTATGTTTATTATTATTATTATTTTGTGTGTGTGTTTATTATTTTTAAAGATTTTATTTATTCATTCATGAGACACAGAGGGAGAGGCAGAGGCTTAGGCAGAGGGAGATGCAGGTTCCCTGCCCGGGGAGCCCAATGTAGGACTCGATCCCAGGACCCTGGGATCATGTCTGAGCCGAAGGCAGACGCTCAACCACTGAACCACCCAGGCGTCCCTAAAAGCAATGTGTTCAATTGTAGAACACAATCTGTATAAAATACAGATGAATTTCTGGAATTAGTCATGACGGTTGCACAACCCAGCGAACCGTACACATTAAAACAGTGAATTTTATGTTATGCAAATTTGTATCCCAAGTTTTTTAAATGCAAGGAAAAATACAAATGAGGGCAGAAAATAAAGTGACTTGCATTCCCACCGATACTGGTAATAAGTGATAGAACACTCTGGAGGCAGAGCCTTCAGATTGCTTTTCACAAGTGTACGTAAGTTAATTTCTATTACTTTACACACGCTGGTTTATAACCCTTGGGGAGCCACCCTCAACCCCCACATCCAGGGACCCATCCCGGTCCCCAAGGGCTCAGTCCTCCATGCTCTCCTTGCCTACCCTCCCTCCTTAGTGACCTTATCCTGCTGTGTGGCTTACAATCCCAGCTCTATCAGGATGGCTCCCCAGCTCATCCCCGCGGCCTCCATGTCCCTGAACTCCAGATGCTGACATCACCTGCTTCTGGGGCCTCATCCAACATGCGTCCATACTTCTGACGACCAGAGCTGGACTCCTGCTCTTGCCGCCTCCATACTTGTCCACTCCCCATGTGAGCGATGGACATCCCACTCTAACAGTTGCTCAGGTCAAGATCCTTGGCATTGACCTTGACTCCCTTCTCTTTGTCCTATACCCCCCATCCAGTCCATCAGGCTATCCCACTTTCGCACTATAACCTGAGTCTAACCAGTTCTCTCCATGTCCTGGCCTGCCTTGCTGGACCCGGCCACCACCCTCCCTGCTGACCAGGGAGGGGGTCCTGATTCTGCCCATGCCTGCAGGGATCCCAGGGCTGGGAGCAGCAGCCAAGGGACCCAGTTAAATACCAACAGATTCTGGGTCTGACTTACCTCCCACCTCTCCCTGGCTCTCCAAGCCCCTGCGAGGCCACATGTGGGCCATGGGGCTCCAGGGCAGGGTCTGGGCACTGCTCCCCCTTCTCCAGGCCTTCCTCCCAATTCCTTGCAGAATGGGTAGGAATGGGTTCCTTTCAGCTGGCAAGTATGTGCCCATCTGAAGGCTTCCTGCGGTCTGAGGCTCCATCCAGGGGAGGCCATCTAGGGAGAGGAATCGGGAATGGGCCCTGTTTGGAGGTAGGAGGTGGCATCTGGGGGCTGAGAAGCACTCGCAGCCCTGGTCAGGCTTTCTCTGTCTCCTCAGTTCCTCTGTGCACTCTGTACCTCTTGGGGTCTGTGCCAAAGCGGGGAGAAAAAGAAACCCTGCCCACCACCTCATCCTTGCCTCTTCCTCCCATGCTCTGTCCACCCTCAGCACCTTCGTTCTCATCACAGAGGTTTGCTGAGTGACCACGACAAGTCAAGTGCCTTCTAGGTGTTACAGGTACAACCACAAATGAGAACCCTGTCCTCAGGCGGGTCACAATACAGGGGATGAGACACACAAAGAATCATCACAACCAATGAAAAGGAGATTAGGTCTGCAGGGCTTGCAAAGGAGAAAAGGATACGGCTGGTTAGGAGGCAGGAAAGGTCCCCACACACTGACACTGTAGATGGGGTGGCCAGGGAAGGCCACGGGGACTCTCTCTCGCCTCTCTCCATCCGGGTGGAGCCTAGGCCACTGGCCTCAGCCTCAGCTCTGCCTGGAGGATCCCTGCAGGGGAAGGCCACCTGCAACCCCCAGCCTGGAGGCCAGAGAAGTAGAGAAAGCAGATCTGCCCCTGTCACCCCTCTGCTTAAAGCCCTGAGGCCCACCCAGCTCCTTGCTGAGAGGGCAGGCGGGTGCCCTCTGGCCCTGGCCCTTCCCTGTAGTTTCAGATTGTACCCCCTGCGCCTGCGGCCCTGTGCACTGAGAGGGGTTCCCCCTCGGGCTCAGGTCTCCCAGGCCTGGAATAGGCGGTCCCAGTCGCCCCCTCCGTCCTCAGGGCTTGGAGGTCACCTTCCCGCAGCCCCCCCAGGGGAGGTACCCCCACCAGGCAGGTGACATCTTGCCGCGGGGACGGCCGGGACCGCCTGTCCCATTCACCCGCGGGTGCCCGGCGCCCAACAAATCTGCGTCGAATGAATGAGTTTCTGGGCGCAGAGCCTCGGCCTCATTCACATCAGATCTTCCGGGCCCTCCCCGCCACCCCACCCCACCCCCACCCCCCCGCGCCCCGCGGCGCGGCGGGGGCCGGGGCGGAGGGCGAGGGTGAGCGCCCCCTCCTCCGCCGGCCGGGCGGGGTCCGCGGGGCGCGGGGCGGCGGCGCAGGCCCGGCCCGGCGGGTGCGGGGCGGGAGGTGGCGCCGGGCGCTGAGTGGCGGCTCCGGGCCCACCCCCGGCGCGCCGGGGCGAGCGGGAGGCGGGCGGCGGGAGGGAGGCGGGAGGCGGGGAGCGCAGGGGCGGCGGCGAGAGGGAGCGCAGCAGCGAGCATGTGCCGCGGAGCCCAGTAACCAGGGACGACCGCGGCCACCCCGCGGCCGCGTCGGCGCCCAGCCCAGCGCAGCCCCGCGCCGCGGCGCCCGGACGGCCCGGGCCTGCGAGCGGCCGCCCCGCGCCCCCGCCCCGCGCCCCCGCCCCGGCCCCCGCCCCGGCCCCGGCCCCGGCCCCGGCCCCGCGCCGCGCCCAGGGGGGCCGAGGCGCCGCCAGCCGCGCGGGCCCGGCGCAGACAAAGGCGCGGCCCCGACCCGGCCCGGCCCGCCCGGCCCGGCCCGCCCCGGCCAGCCGCTCCCGCTGGGCGCCCCGACGGGGTCCGGCCGGGGGCGGGGGCCGCGGCCGCCGACGATGGGGAAATCCAACAGCAAGTTGAAGCCCGAAGTTGTGGAGGAGCTGACCAGGAAGACCTACTGTGAGTGCGCGCCCGGACCCCCGCCCCCCGCCCCCCGCGCGGCCTCCGCCCCCCGCGCCCCTCCCCTCCCCCTCCCCTCCCCTCCCCCTCCCCGACCCGCGTCCCTCCTCGGCCGCGCCCGCCGCACCCCGCCCTCCGCCGTTCCCCGCCCCGCCTGGGCGCCGGCCCCTCCGCAGCCCGGCCGCGCCCCCCGCCCCCCGCCCCACACCGGGTCCCATTGTTCCAGGGCGGCCGTCCCCCGTCCACGCGCCCGGGCCGCCCCCGGGCCGGCAGGACCGGCTCCAGCCCCGCGACCCCCGCGGCCCGCTGCCGCAGCGCTGTCGGCCGGCGCCGGGCTGTGCCGGGCCGAGGGGGCCGGCCGGGGCGGGGGCTCCCGGCTGCGCGGCGGCTGGGGCTGTGCGGAGCCGACTGGCACGAGCGCAGCGGGGTGGGTGATTCATGCATCACGATGCCGCCGCCGCCGCCGCCGCCGCCGCCGCGAGGTTGGCCTGTCGCCCCCTCCCTGGCCCGAATCGTGTGCGTTGCGGTGGGAGCGGGGCGAGACTTGCCTGAGCTCGAGGCGGCGGTGGCGGCGGCTCGGGGTCCCGGGCGCCGCGGGGGCTGCGGGATTTACAGGGTCAGTTCTCCCCTGGCCCGCATCTCACCTCCCCCTCTCCAGCCCTGTCTGCCACACTGGGAAATGGGGGGGTGATCTGGGCTGTCTCAGCAGGTCACCGTCTGGGGCACCCCCAAGAGGAGGGTCTGCCCATTTCCGACTTCTCCAGAGCTGGCTTCTTGAGTCTCTCCACCTGGCCCCAACTTCACAACCGTTCTGTCCCCTCCTATCTTCGGTTTCTCCAATGAAGGACTTCTCCTGTCCCTGCAGCTCTTGGGGGACACCCCACGCAGCTTACCAGGGGTTCATGGCACCGGAGATCCTCTTGACCCCATGCTCTCTCTTTTGGGGGACGGGGAGAAGGATGACTGCATGGTCTGGAAGGGCTGGTGCCTGGGTGTCTGACTTGGAAGGACGCACCAGCCCCGGTGTGGGTTGGAATTCAGAACCCATACCTGGGCAGCAGCGTGGGGCCAGTCCCTTTGCTGGAGATTGACTGGCAGCCTCTGTGTGGATGGAGGCCACCGGGGAGGCAGCTTCTGGTGGTGCATTGCACAACCTCTGCCCCCCCCCCCCATCGGTCTTCTGGGCACGTTGGCAGGTCTGGCCAAGCTCACACTTCAGCTCCATGCCCCTCGCCCCCATGTGCTTAGAACAATGGGGGCTTTCCTGAGTGGGTGCTAGTCTGCTGAGAGTTACTGGTCCTTCTCCAGTGGAATTCTCCAGCAAGGAGCTCACATCCCAGTAGCTGGTCCTGGAAGTGTTGAGGCTCCAAGGACTGGGACTCTGTCCTTACTGCTCTTAGCCTCTTTCCTGGGGGAGCCAATGGGTTGTGAGGGGATGGGGTGGCCCTGTTCGGCTGCTGTTCTGTGAGATTTGCTGGGCCTTCCCTCAGGCTCTGGCCAGATGTGGGCGGTAGCTGTCTGCAGGCAGGCTGCAGGTGGGACTTCCCAGGCTCTGGTGCCCTGGGTGGCAGAGGGCACCACGGGCTTTGACAGGAGTGGTGGGCTTGGGTCGCATCAGGGTGTCCCCATTGTGGTAGAGCCGGAGAGCCACCTGAATGAAGCCAGGTTGCCTACTTCCTGAGCCTGTCACATGTCAAGCCCTTGGCATCATTAGCTCATAGAATCCTCAACCACCCTGCATGTGGTGGGCAATGTTCCCAACCTCATTTATAGATAAGGAAACTAAGGCTCGGAAAGGTGAAGTCGTGTGCCCGAGAGCCACGGCCAGGGGCTCAAACCCTGTCTGGTCTGTTTCCAAAGTTATGCCCCTGGAGAGATCTCAGAAGTCAGGCCGAGAAGTCAGGAGGGGCTTTTCTTCTGTGGGTCCCTGTCTGGTTGCTGCTTCAGCCCGCGATGGTGGATTCTGGATGCGAAGGGGTGGGGGCGGTCGTTTTGTCTGCCCTGCCCCCCTCACCCTGGGCTCATCTGTCAACTTTGGGAGAAGTTGAGTCAACAAGGTTTTGTTAGGAGCAGGCCTGGTGGTGCTGTGCTGGCCTGGGCTATTTTTAAAGGCCTTTGGAGACATGGAACAGTTTCGATCAGAGAGAGCCCAGAGTACTTCGCTCCATAGAAGCCTTATTAGGTGTGGGCTGGGGAAGGTGCTGGTGGGTTCTTTTGCCTCCTGTCTGTCTCCCTTGCTGATGCTTGGTGGTGCTGGCTCGTAGTAGGCCCATAGATATTTGTTGAGGAAAAGTCTCCCAGCAGGAAAAGCAGAGAAAGCCTCCAGCTTGTTCTTAGGCCCCAGATGGGCTTCCTTCTGATGGGGACTGGAGCCATCTGTTCTCTGTTGCGGGGGTTCCGTGTGTGGGGTCAAGAGATGAGCACTTAGCAAGGGCCATCAGATGGCAGAGTCTCCTGGAGAACTTGTTAAATGCCAAGTACATGGGTTGCTTTGCTCTTGGATTTCTTACTCCTGAGGTCTGGGCTGGGTCCAGAGCCTTGCATCCTTGATACGTGTTACCATGCAGGTCTCAGTTCCCGGGAGCCCCAGTTGAAGACCTGCTCTGGTTCTGGGGGTCCCGGCATGTGTAAGTGTCACCTGGGGGCTTATGCCACCTCGGGGTAGCACAGATGGCTGCAGGGCCCAGAGGGGAGCCCAGATGTTCACACCTGAGTCATGGCAGCCGCCACCCCTGGTGGTGACTCTCCTGCTCCCTGGGAAAGACTGTCCTGGTGGGGTGTTTGTGTGAGAGAAAGAGAAAGCAGGAGAAGGTCTAAGACACATCAGATGCAGCCTCGCTAAAACCCTTTGTCTTTTGGGCTGAATGCTGCAGAGGAGATCGTTTTCCTCCTCTGCAGATAACATTTGGTAAACCACCATGCCCCATAGTGCCATCCTCACCCTTCCTGGCACAGCTCACACCCAGAAGCACAGGAGGTTCGAGACTGATGGGAGCCCCTGCCCAGCCGGGACTCAGAGAGCATAGTCAGTGTGGCCGGCAGCCCAGTTTCTTGGAGGTCTGGCCCACTTTCTCCCAGCTTGTTGGTGAGGCCGTGGTCAATCCTGTGTGCCCCGGCAGTGGGACAGTCCAGCCCCTCACTTAGTGACCCTCAGCTTCCTCATCTGCAAAATGGGTATGCTCATGGTACTTGGCTTCCTGGGGGATGGAAGGCATCACCAGAATAATTCCCTTATAGCCTAATACGTGGATCCTTTGGTAAAGGGTCCTCCTGGATGCATGACGACAAACAGCTGCCAAGGGTGTCAGGCTGCGTGTGAGCGATCGTTATAGTGTCGCTCTGGGTACACGATTCAGCTTCCTCTTGAATTGATCTTAAATACATCTCGTGGGCAGAGTTCATCTGTCCACAGAGGAGTCCTCCCACGGCCCTGGACTTTGTGGCTTGCACACAGGAGGCAGAGAAAGGTGGGAGCTTGGGCTTGCCTGAATCTTCGCAGATGCTTGTTTTACCTGCAGTGGTCTCCCCGCACCCCCCACTTGTTAATTTTGGGTCTGCGCTCGCTTGTTCTTCATTGAGTGCTCACTCTGTACTGGGTGCAGACATTGGAACGGGAGGGAGGGAGATGGAACTCTTGCCTTCAGATGGAAACCAGCCAGATGCTCCAAAAAAACCAAGCCGATGGGGCTCGAGCCATTTGTTGTGGTCTGAGCTGCATTGGCTTAAAGCTCCTGGGCTCCAGCCAGGCAGCCCCAAGAAGCAGACACCTCCACCCTGCCTCCCTTCCTTATCCTCTCCCCCGGGGTGCTCACGGCACTCCCCAGGGACCCTCTGCCCAGGACTCGGAGGAGGTCACCCGTTCCCTGTCCCTCTTGGCCAGCCTAGGCTCTGCCTTGACCTTGCTAGCCAACCTTGAGTCTCCATAGCCTTTTTCCTGATGCCCAGGATGGTGCCTGGTGCATGGCAGCTCCTGCAGGGGAGGAGCACCCAGATGGGAAGTCCTGGTGGCTGGCAGCCGATGCCTCTGCCACCCAGAACCAAGAAGGGGATCCTCGTTCACGATCAGGAGTCTGTGCTTAAGAGAGGCCTGGGTGTCACTAGTTGGGTTCTTGTGACTCTGGCTTTGGGAAGGGTCACACAAAGGTCCCTTCCTGTAAGATAAGGAATATTCTCTGATGATCACTGCCCCCACGCAGTACTGTTCGACCAGAGGGGGCAAGGCATTGCCGTGGGGGGAGGCAGCATCTGCTAAGAGGGTGAGACCAAGGAAGCCTGTTCCCTCTCTCTACTGTAGGTGAGACAGAGCAGCAGCAAGACAAGTTGATATTGGGGCGTTACACTAGGGTGGGCGTATGGGCAAGAAGCATCGAGCCTGCTGTTAGGAAGGAACCCAGTTTCCTGGAGAAGGGGAGCTGGGTCCTCAGTCAGGCTCTGTGACCTTGGGTAAGTCGCTTACCTTCTCTGAGCACCAGCTTATTCATCTGTAACGCCTGCCCATGTGACTCCCTGGATCCAAATGGGAGGATGCTTTGAGGTCCAGAGTGTGGGCCCGAAAGGAAAGGGGGGCTCTTCGGTGGCAGAGTCTCAGGGAGGATGGTAGGCCTCCAGGGCTAGATGCGCTGGGGTTCTGGCTCTTTCCTTGCACAAGCCCCCTTCTCACAGAGCTTGACTTTCCTCCTATGGAAGATGGGCATCCCCGAGGCCCCAGAGTAGGATTCATGTGTGGATGAAGGGTTTAGTGTAGTACCTGGTGCTAAGGGGGCCCTTTAAGCTTCTGGTGACACCTGGTCCTAGGATCCTCTGTCTCCTAGAGCAGGAGGGCTGAGTGGGCCCTGTAGAGAGATGTGAAGGAGGCCAGAGAGGTGCAGGGACTTGCCAGGGGTCACAGAGCCCAGGCCTCCTCCTTATACCTGTTCTTGCTCTTTCTGCCTCCTCTAACTCCTTCTGTCTCCAGCCCACCCCCACCCCACCCCAGAGATTCTGGCATAGTGAGGTGACAA